GAGCCTCTGTGGGCCAGTGACTGCGATGGGACTGTGCGCCTCCTTCTTTCTGTTGCGTGCAAATCTCGTGGGGATCATGTCGTTATATCACCTGCACAGGTGGGCTCCACAGGGTGAGGGAAATGCAGTTTTGGTTTCCAAGCCTCAGGAAAGAAAGAGCTGCACTTAACAAGTGCAGTTTAGGAGACACATCTGCTTCCTGGCCCCGTTAAAATAGCCCCAGACTTCTGACGTCAGCTGGGTGCTTGCATAAGAAGGGTGTCATCGCATGTCTCACTCTGGGGTGACCACAATCTGGACAGTGCCTGGGAGAGGGGTGCTGAACTTCTCTATTAGTTGTAGGTCTCAGAGTCTTCTAATTACCTACTGTTTTCAATTGTTTCTCCCCTGTTGACTTGGGCTTCCCTAAGCTCTTCTTCTCAGAGTCTGAGCATTTGCAACTTTCAGATTTAATCCACTTTCATTTTACTGGTTTGGTGGTAAAGAGTGGGGTATGAAAACACTACATATTTTTTATGAATGAGAATATGTGGCATTTCTCCTTTTGTGTCTGGCTTATTTCACTTCACTTAATTTTCTCCAGGCTCATCTATGTTGCTGCAAATGGAATAATGTCATTCCATTTTATAGGTGAGTAGCATTCCATTGTGTGTAAACACCACATGTTCCGTATCTAGTTGTTTGTCGATGGGCACATAGGTTGGTTTCCTACTTTGGCTGCTGTAAACAGAGCTGTGACGAACATCGCAGTGCAGGTGTCCCTTCAACATGATTTATGTTCCTTTTTATATATACCCAGTAGTGGGATTGCTGGATCATATTTTGGTTCTATCTGTAGTTGTTGAGGAACCTGCGCACTGTTTTCCAAAATTGTGGCACTAATTTACAGTCCCAGCCACAGGGGAAGAAGATTTCTCCCATATCCACAGCCTCACCAGCTCTCGTTATTCTCAGTCTTGTTCATAATGTTCAGTCCAACTAGGGTGAGTTGACATCCCAGTGTGGTGTTGATTTGCATGTCCTTGATGATTAGTGATGCTGAACGTTTCTCATGTACCTGCTGCCCATTCCTATGTCTTCCTTTGACAAATGTCTATT